CCCCCCCCCCCCCCCCCCTAACGCTTGTTTGGCTATCGCCAATGCTGTCGCTGTTTTGAAATTCCATCCAACGCGTTCATCATCAGCCACTGCTGAAGATGCTGTGGCGCACGGGGTACATCCAGTGCCCGGAAGAGTGCGCTTTCGGCGTTACCCCTTGGGAGGACTGCGCATGCACCTGCCCCGAGGAAAACTTCAACGGCATGAGCTCGTGGGAGGTGAAGGCCGCCGCCGCCCCCGTGCCGTAGGGCGTCGTGTGTCTTGCTTGCTGTGTACTGCTCTCTGCTGGGAGTCAGTCATTGCTCCGATATGAGAGGGCGTTGTGACAAAGGCCTTCCACCCTCTTATATCGGAACCCCCTCTTATATCGGAACCCCCTCTTACACCGGAATAGGAGAGTACGCAGGTATTCTGAAGGGGGTCATGTCCGTGGCAACCGATTCCGACCATTCAATGTTGGAGCCCCTTATTTTCTAAGGCACCCTCGTGTATCGGGGACACGACTGCTGTCGGCAGCTTCCAAGTGTTCCCAAATTTCCATATTCCGACTTGCCACAGATTTCCAATTTTTTCCCCCTTATGAAGTTTTTCGGTGCCAGTTAATTTAGTTGCCGAATTTCCAATATCTTTCCTCGGCCGCAAGTCGAGGTTCAACGGTCTACGGATTTGGCCATTTTGGAAATTTTGGAAGCAACATCGCAGTAGTATGACGGCCGTGAGGAAGGCACAACGGGCGCCCGCTCCTCCCTGGGAGACCCAAATGATAGGGTGTCGTATTACAAGTGGCGAAGAACGGTTGGCGCGTGTAACGAAAGAAGCTTTGCACAACCGGGGAGCATTGCAACCCGCCGGAAGACTACACCCCTCCCCCCTCGGCCTCGCCCTCGTGATGTGTTGCAGGTCTTGCAAGACGCAGGAGTGCTGGCCGACGGGTTCTTCTACGACAAGAACGGCGTTCTCATCAAAGACCTTGTAGACAACGACGTGAGTCTGGCAGCTGACCACCAGCACCTGCTGGTGTTGCGCGCGATACACGCCCCTCTCTTCGGATGCGTCCGATGGACGATAGGCAGCACTGTTTGTATCTGGCGTTGAGAGAGGTGTAAGACACCCCTGGACCCTACGGCTGAATCCTGTTTTTTTTGTTTTTTTTTGCAAACCTGCGACACGGTTTTTCCTCGCCCGATGTTGATCGCTTATATTTGGCGTTTCATGAAGATATATGACGCAAACGTATAGATACGCCCGCTGATATTCCCTTCAAGCATGTTCGCTCCGCGCATGGAGAAAAAGCCAACCGGAGACCCCATTGTGGGAAGCCCCTTAAAGCCTCAATGCCAGGTATAGTCTGAAGCCCTCAGCCAGGCGTTGACGGCATTCCCCTCCCGCAAACCCATCAAATGATCTCTCACCACCAGGGTAACGCCTTCGATATTCTTCCGGGATACACCAAGGAAGAGACGGTGCAAATCTACGACGAGATGCTGCGGGCCCTGTGCATCCCTATGCGCGTCGGCACTCACTACGGCGCGACCAGCACCAACGACCCGACGTTCTGGTTGATTCACCCGACTTTTGACAGGTGCGTCACGATTTGTGTGTCTGTCTGTCTGTCTGTCTTTCTGTGGCCTCTTTGTCTCAGTCTGTTGCTCGCTGCCTCTCCCTCTGCGCGTCCACGTCCCTCTCCCTCCCTTCTGTGTATGCGCTTTTGTGACCACGTGTAGGCTTGAAAAGTCAGTGCGCCCACCCGTCACCATCATCAACAGATGCTTACCACTCCGATTTGTTTCTGACACACTGTCGTGCCTGCCGTGTTTGTACTTGCTGATGTCGGCTCGTGTGCAACGGAGGTAGGTCTGGTACCGATTACGTGAACTTGAAGATAGGCATTCCCCTTACCCTTGCGTGCGTATTCCAAAGGTGGTGTTGTTGCCGTCAGCACCAACACCGACCAACGACGGCGAACGGAACCCTAACCCTAGTCCGCGCGCAATAGGCAACCAACCTTCAAAACAGCAACGGCAGTGAGCAGAGAGCAACGTGAGCACCCAGCGATGGCAATATCCATAGCAACAACAGCACACGAAATAAACAAAATATGTTTCACAGCGTTGTGACGGCAGCAAGAACCAACGCACCACCGCACCATGAACTACGAACGTATTGTCAGACTTTGGCACTTGCGAAGGCTCCAGGTCAAGGCGGAAAACGACACGGCCTTCGACGAGACGTGGATCCCGGACCACTTCTGCTACGGCCACAACCCCGACGACATCCAGCCGTTCCGGAACCTGTTCCTTCATGACAATGTGGTTCAAGTTGAACAACACGGGGACAAGCAGGTTTAGTTTGTGTTTTTCGTTTTGTTTTCTTAGTTTCCTGCCCGTGTGCGTGCGCGCGCTATGTAGCGTGTTTTTTTATGAACACTGGCATGCATGCAAAATGGTAATTTCTTAGGATCCTGTCTTGTTGGCGTGTGCTTCCGTCGGCGTTTATTGTGGAGGGTGCCAATTGTTTGGAGGGCGTCGAATATGGACGTGGACGGTGCGGCAGTCATGTAATGCAGCTGCTGTGATTGTTTTCGTCCCTCGCAAGTGCTCTTGGAGGCATGTACAACACACACACTGGCTTGGAGTTGAACCCTTTGCTTGGAAATGTTACCGCTGTTTTTTGCTCGGAAGTCCTTCGTTTAACCTTTTCATCGCTTTCGCTCACGACCCCGAATGATGTTTTGATCGTCTGGCCGGCACCAGATTGAGATCCCGAAGGTCTACTACACCAACTCGCAGCTGTATGCCATGCTCAAGCCGGACGAGATGGACGGCCCTTACGTGTACGAAAACTTCGAGTGGAGACACTGCGATGTGAGTTGTGGCTTGTGTTACGAGGAAAGCGAGGGACTCTGTGCACCGATACTGAAACGACGGGAGCTGTCTACGATTCTGTGTTTGTGTTGTTTTCTAGGTGCGTTTGGCGGTTGGATCACAGGGGATGCGCCTTGAAGGGGAGTTTGGGTTGATGTTGAATCCTTACTCCCTCTGTTGTCACACCATAGATGGAGAGAGACGTCACATGATTTTCTGATTTTGAACCATGTACTTCCACCGACCACGCAGCACAACCGGTGCAAATCGCAATAGTCATCGTAACGCGTGGTAGTTTCTGGAAAATGACCCCACCCACTCCTCCGCGGTCCGCCGACTGAATTGAAACCGCAGGCGCAAGGCGTGCACATCCACGGCTTCTGAACGGACATATGCTGGCGGCATCGCCAGCATGTTTGCGTCGCTACACGAGTCCGTCAGCACTATCTAGGCTGTCGAAGTTTTCACGGGAAGCTGGCACAGCGTTTGTTTCGCTATTTTTGCATTTTTGTCTCTATCGCCAGGCGAAGTATGATGTACCTTCATTGCCAGCATGGACAAGGAATGCCAAGAGTGGTGATTGTCATGATTTTGACTTGCAAACCGGGAGGGCAGAATAAGATTTCGCGCTCTGGGGGCCTTTGGTGGTAAATTTTGATACTTCTATTTTCCATGTTGGGGGGGGGCATCTGGATTCACAGGTACATTCCGCCGGATATCATCGCCTCCACCGTGCGGGCCGAATCAGCCGCTTCGTACGGGCCTCTGGCCTTCTTTTGTTCGGTCAGGGGACGGTCTTCCCGTCGAACTCCAGATACTGGCCCTCAGTCACCCTTGGTCGCAGTGCTGTCATCGACCTCTTTGGGGGCTTGCCTTGTATGGAGACCCGCACGATGCGTGGAAGATATCCGTTCATGTTTTTCCTCTTCGTTGTCACCAAGTTTGTATTGAGATTGGTTGACATGCTTGGAGGCGGTGCCGGGGTCTGCGATCCCGGCCTGCCCACGCAGCCAAGCCCTTATGTCTTGTTGTTGGTTGGACTGGCATGCTTGGAGCAGAGTTTTGCTGAGAAATGCGCGTCCGTTGTATGGCGATGTCGATGGGGAAGGGTTTCGACCGCATGGTTCATTTCAATGCAAGTGCCCAGCGGAAAAATATTCGGCCCATAATTTGCGAATGGTCGGATGCCTGCGGGATTGCCATATACCAGATCACTAGCTGTGTTGCTTTCGGACAGCAGTGGCGCCGCAACATCGCGTTTTGTGCATGGGTGGTACAATGCGTTTCGCTGCTTTGCAGCAGTTCAGTGCGTTGGACTGACCGTGTACACCGGTATGCATCGGGTGTTGTCCGAACAGTGTGCTTGTCTCGACTTGTCTCTGACTGCGGGCGTAATAAGGATTTAAGATTTGACGTGTTTTTATGGTGTCGAGTGGTTTTTCTTTTCTGGCGGTTGGCGTAGTTTGCTTGGAGAGTGCTCGGTTCTATGTGGTCCATGAACGTGAGGGGATTGAGATGGCCTGCTCAGCGGGCTAAATTTGATGGGAACATTTGTTCATTGTTGGTAGAATGTCGGAGTAAACTTGATTTATTTGTGCATGCCGACAGGTATTCGTGTTTGTTATGTGCAGTAGGCAGAGTTGTTTTTCATCAGGTCTGTCTCATCTTGTGTCTGTTGGGTGCGGTTTTTCAGTGCGGTTCGATCCTTTTCTCTTCTTTTGTACTCTTTGCTTCCCTTCTTTGTCTCGGCCTGTCGTGTGGTGAAGTTATCCACTGGAGTGCGTTGTTTTCGGTTACACTGCAGCTGCATGCAAATATTTTTTTCGTGCGTCGTGCGTCGTGCGTCGGATGCGTAGGTTAGCCCGTTCTTTTCTTGGTGCGCGCATGCTTCTCCGACGTTCAACTAACTTACTCCCGTTGTATGAGAAGGAGGTACACAAGCAAGCTTCAACGTGATTAAACAAGCAAGCATCAGGCACCATCCAGGTGAATATCCTCAACTACCTGTTGAACAAACTCGGGAAACATGGAGGAAAAGTGTGCAGTGGAAAACGATCAATATCCGGTGCTTTTGCAAACACTTTTGACTTGACGGTCGACGAGGGAAAGGTGCTACTGAACCTTCACGCGACAAAGCTCGATCGGAAAGAAACGGCAAACGCAAGGCCGGAAAGAAAAACGATTTTCCTCGTTGTGACTTTCGTTCTGTCTGTGACCTCCCCTCACCATGCATGGTCACCACCCATGAAGACTAGCGACATACGACATTGGACGAACACTTAAAACTGCTCAAGTATTTACGGAGGTGAACTTTGCCTCCCCCTCCCGGGTTCCCAGATAGATGATGAGATTATGAAGTAATTTATTTCTGTTTTCAACGACAGAGACTGACGTCTTGCATGGGTCACCTGTGTGGCGCCGTCGATACCATTTCAAACAATACAAACTTGTGGAGGAAATTGAGTGTCAATAAGAACCAGTCAGTCAGTGCAGTCAGTTTAGAGGGAAGGTACCCCCTGTTAGAGAGGACGAAGATTCCCCTTTTGGTAGGTTTGTTCGACGCGAATAACAGGCCTCGCCGTTGGTGCGTGCATGACCGCCAGGCCCCTACTACTGGTAATGCCAACAAGTTTGCGTGTTGGCATAAATTGTCTCGATCGTTTGTCAATGTAATGAAAAGAAGTTTGCTTGGTCAAGCATGGCCCAACATATTATTCACTTCAATACGATGTGAACAAACAAGGTGCGGATTCTATAGCCACATGACGCCCGTTCTCTGGTGATGACCAGCACCTCGCAAAACTTTCTACTGCTGTATTATTATCAACCTACAACGTTTCATCAACACATCGGACATTTCCGTGGGAATGAATGAGTTGGACTGCCGTCGAGAGCGTGACGCGGGCGAGGTACTCGTTGTCACAGAATGGAAGACTTCGTGAAAATGCGCATCGATAACGCCGAGTATAGTATCACGTGAACCAGGGTATCAAGCCAGTTAGTACTATACTGAGTATGACCGAGCCTACCACGTGATACTGAGAATGAAGCAAAGTGATACACTAAACAAGAGTGACACCGAAACCTCTGTGAAAATGAGTGTCGGTTGATGCTGATTATTTTTTGTTGTCCTCACTTCAAATCAGCGCTCACATGTGTGAGGTGATACTGAGCATCACGCCTGCCTCACCCAATATTACATGACTTCATGCTCGGCATCGTCTATGCTCATTTCCACAAAGGGGTCACTCGCAGGATCACCTGGGTGGCTTAATGATGAGTGTCACCAAGCAAGAGGACATGGTTGGATTGGATTGACACCGAGTATAGTCTAGAGCCAAATGAAACTACTTATCAGCCCTTTGTGCTACGAGAGTAGAACGTGTTGTAGGAAGCTCCGCAGATTGTAACCGTGTAGTCTAGTTGAAGTTGTCCCCGTTTCCTCGGAGCTCCCAACGTGTTTGGATTATTCTGGTTTTCAATGCTTCTGCAGCCACCCCCTTCGAGCAGAAGCCGCTTGGCATAGATTCGACAAGGGTTTAAGTGAGCGTGAGTGCCGTCCCCACAGCCTTGTGATGAATGTGACGCCCAAGCATAGCAATGGATAGCCTCGTGAGATTGGACGGATAAGCGGTTGAGTTACCGTAGGTGTTCTTGCTGATCAGGAGTTCACCCTCAGCAGGCTGACTAAACGAGACCACATTCGACTCTGTCTTTGTGCACATCAGAGACCCGTGATTGCATCACGAGTACCGACAGCGTTCACCAAGCATTCCTTGGACCCGACGTACTATTTAGTAGAACCAACCTTGTTACAATAGTAAAACCACACCTCACTTGTGATTGATTCGCAATGCTCCACCTCAGAAAACACACCCAGCTAAAGCTTTAGACTACTTCACAAACATTTCTACAGCAGTGGTAGTGCTTTGTGCCAGGGCCAGAGGGGGGGGGGGTACTGCTAACTTGATGCTGAGTGTGACGCCAGTCGTCGTGTGATCCTGGGTGTCAAGGCGTAATGGGAGGACTGAGCACTGAGCCCCCAGGATGGCGAGATACGCTTCTTGCGGGTATTGTTTCTGTGTGTTGATTTTATTTTGCGTAGACTAGACTAGACGGCGCTATTCGGCCGATCAACGAAAAGACGTGTGTATTGTGCCTTGTCGCCCCGTAAATGTTGTTGTCCAATGCACCCTCTCTGTGGTGGGTACGTAGCTTTTCAGCCGGGGTCCAAGGGGAAGAAAGGTCACGGCCATGTAGCCGGCGACATGCCTCGAGGCTGGTGCGCAGATGGGACGGGTGTGACTTTGGTAGGAGTTGAATGGAGTTTGTAAGATAAAGTTACACCATTAGACTAGTCAACGCTGCGTTGACTAGTCTAATGGTGTAACTTTATCTTACAAAAGACATACGCTCAGCTCGTTAGCACCCGGCTGGATTACTTGGGTGAATGGCTTGGGATTGAGAGCAGGGATCTCTGGGGCCGGACCCCTCGCCAGACGCTGCCTGAAAAGAACATAGTGGTGCTCGGGAAAGTGTATAGCCGGGATTCGGACCCGTGCGTGAATCTTTTAATGTGAAACCATCAGTCAAGTCAGCGCTGACTAGTCTAATGGTATAACTTTATCTTACAAAAGAGATACGCTCAGCTCGTCAGCACCCGGCTGGATTTACTTGGGTTTATCGCTTGGGATTGAGAGCAGGGATCTCCGGGGCCGGACCCCTCACCAGACGCTGCCTGACAAGAACATAATGGTGCTTGGGAAAGTGAGTAGCCGGGATTCGAACCCGTGCATGCAACGTTTGTCGCCAAATGTCAAATAAACCATTTGTCTGAACAGCGCCGACCTGGCTGCCTAGTCTAGACTAATGGTGTAACTTTACTCTGCAAAGGACACCCGCACGAGTTCTAATACCGGCTGAATCACTTTTCATTGCAAGAAATAAAAAAGTGCACCTACAACTGTCAGCGCCTGGCGAGGGGTCCGGCCCCGGAGATCCCTGCTCTCAATAAGCTTTAGACCCAAGTGATCCAGCCGGGTGCTAACGAGCTGAGCGTATATCTTTTGTAAGATAAGGTTACACCATCAGACTAGTCAGCGCACTGACTAGTCTAATGGTGTAACTTTATCTTACAGAGAGAGTCGGATACGCTTAGACTTTGGTATGTTCAACGGCACGACTACATTATCTCCACACCGGACCGTGGGAAAGAGAACGCCCGGCTGCTACAGTACGCCCCACCCACCATTTATTCGAACCTATTATTTTGCCGAGGCCCGTTTCTTTATTCGCCTATCTATAGGTTCTAGTGTAGGGTTCTTGACTGAGCACCTCCTCTAACGGCCAAGATTTTGGATTCCTGATATATTGAGGCTAAAATCTGAATTGCTAAATTCATAAGTGATGAGGCCTTCTGTATTGCTGTAGTAATGAAAGAGATAGCAGGGAGGGGCCGAGCCATGGTAGGATGGGAACAGAGGTGGTATTGCCCAACGATCTCTTTTCGATTGACCCCTCCATAGCCTATGCTGGCGCTCCCTACGTTTCCTTAAAATAATGCCCCCTTGATGCCCACGACATGGCGGACAAAAACTATTTAATACGAGGTACAACAACACCTCGCGATGAAATCCTCCAAAATTCAAGGTCGAAAAAGTACAAGGGGAAGGGGGGATAGCCCAGATCGAACCCCTCTCTCAACGCAGCCATGGCTCCTATCGTGTCAGCGCAAAATGAGCCAATCTCTTTAACCACTCAGTTATCCGTCCATCACTATTCAGTAGAATCAGTCGCACCTGGCAAGAGGGGTCTGAAGGGTGGCGAAAATATGCGGAACTTCATTACCCCCGAAGAGTCGTATTTTTCTGTTTGTTGGAGGGACCAGGCTCAAAGCTCATCTTCCCGAAAGGCAGCGCTTCGAAGAAAAGAAACCAGGTCCTACAAATACCCTAGAATATCTGCTAGTCAGACAGGTGGTGGTTTCTTTGTATGGAAGTGGTACTCGTCCACATCCACGGTCGTTTCTGCCGACACTGCCCTTGGTGAAGCGAACATCCTCGTCCTATCGTTCCGATTTGTTCTCTCACGGTCCGGCAGAAGTACTCTTCGTGGTTGACGCTGCTGGTAGCAAAATAGCGCCCACTCGTCATGGCCGCCGCACTGGTTCCGATCCGTCTCGGTTGACACGCCCACCGCTGCACTATCTTTTAGACGACCGCTGCTGTTGCTCTCGAGGCCATCGCCACGCACGGCTCCTGGCTCATCATGCAACGAGGTGAGTAGACCTTCCCGTGTGTTCTCGGGTCGATGCCTCCTGGCGGTGCGCCTTTCTTCATCATCGCCGCCACCAGTCTGTGCCGCGCTGCACGCGGTGCGAACTAAAGGCGCCGCGCTAGCGGCGCCATCCTCGACGCAGCAGTTATCGTCGTCGCTGTAATCATCGCCATCATCGTCGTTTCCGCCTTGAATCGCTTCGTTCGGGGACGGACGGTGGGTACACCTCCGTACGACCGACGTGACGGCTACCGTCGCCGTGAAGACGAGGACCGCCGTGATGACCTGACGTTGATCAACCCATCCATCATCGGACGGCGGTCTTTAAGCTTTCGTACCCACGACGCCGTGAACATATATAAATCCATTGGATTCTTCTCTAATCACAGATGAGAGTCGGCGATAACACGAGCAATGGATTTCAGTCGAGTTTCCCGCGGAAACGAGCGGGAGGGTAGTGCGTAGAGAAGAAGATGGCTTGCTCCTCGCGTCGCGACAGCCGGGTGATGAGGGCGGGAAGGTGTTGCGGCACCGTGTTCAATTCACCCGGTTCTATCTTGAGTGGCCCACACCACGGCGAAGACAAGGTCTGGGAGAGGTCAATACGAGACAAAAACCGGTTCACGGCATCTATCAATCCTCCCGGGATCGCACCGGCAAGAGGTTTATGTAGTGACCGCAGCCTGACTACAGCATTCAACCGCATCTCTAGATACTACAAGCTTCATGGTTATGTCTGCGTTGTCCTCCGAATGAGACAACCACAATTCACCATGTGGATTGATGATTTCGAGCACAATTTGTTGTCGTTGTTATTGTCATTTGTTGTGTAATTCGTTCTACAAAAAGAACATTATAGTGTGCTCCGATCTGTGTTCTATACCTTCAAATCAACCACATATCCTGGTCCAACGGACGTGGGTTGGGATTACAATTTAGTGTCTTCAATGACGGGAAGCCCAGGCATCTAAACTACTCGCATTAGCCCCCAAACATATATTCGACAAAAACGCTCCCGAGATGGCATGTGCTTTACGTTTTACGGGCTGGGCTAACCCCGTTGGCGTTATAGGTGGTGATCGTAATAGTTCTGCATTTGCACGTTTCGTGCCGTTTCCTCATTGAGCATGTCTCGGCAGCTATTTGCTCACCTCGCGAGCAAGTTCCCATGCCTCGCCTTTGATATAATCTGCCAGAGCGGAGGGTGAGACAAAAAGCGTGGGAAATCGGCCAGCTTGCGTGGGGGTGGGGATGGTGTAGAAAGGAGGCTGCGAATGAACGAGAGCGATTGCTGCAGCGGCTGAGACCCTTATTGCGGACAAGTCGTCATATTCACTCTCGGCCCGAATACGCGGTTACCACGTGTACATATAGCAATGAACAGGACTTCCCAGTCCACATTTTTGAACTCGTTCAAGGTGTGTTGACCGGTAGGGGTTACTTGCAGCAATACTCCGGCAATCAAAAAAGTGAAACGCCGAACGAAACGAGGACACAAGCTCGAAATCCTGATGGAAAACGTCGTACTTCATCAGCAAAGAAGGGAAGTTGAAGTTTGGGCAGAACAAAAACGTTCGCAACCCCGTACACAGTCACCTCGTAGCTTGGGGAACACCACACCTGCCAAGCGTTTTTCCAAACACCCACGCTCGAGTGAAGGCTAAACATCTTCTCGATGAATCGAAAGAGAGCAGCCTATGCTGTGTAGATTGCTGTGCGAGCATCGCCCCAAAGCTCACAGCAGGACTGCGGGCTGCCGTCGGAGTAGGTGGGGGTCCTCCGAAGTGCCGGTTGAGTAGTGCCGAGCTACTTTGTCAACCACCTACTGCACTGCTTACCAGTCCGACGGCGCTTTTTCCGGCAGCTCGAAAAGTATTAAGCCGTTTTCCTCGATTTAGCAATCCGAAACAACCGTCTTAGGTTCCAAAGCAGTGAGCACGTACCGTCGTCGCTCCCGCCAGGATCATCGCTAGATGCCCCCGCCAAAAGCCCTGTGTTAGGACGGTTAAACCAAGAATTGAGGAGGTTTCCGGAAAGCGGCTTCATATTCAGATTACTGATTTATGCTTGTATCAGGGGGTCGGGGGATGGATCCCGTAGCATTTTCATTGGCGACCGCGAGAAACCGCCTGTTTCTTTGCAGGATGCAGTAACAGTGAAACCATACAGGTATACACCAACGATTCATGCCAGCGCTTGAACTGTTTCCAACGACGCCAGCATCTGTGACAAGCTCTTTCCGCTTCTTGATCCGAAGAATGGTCCATCCGTCATCAGATTAACGCCGGGACGAACAACGAGGATACGAGGCTTTCGAAGGCGCCTCGCCCATTTTTTCCCGATTTTCGTTTTGTCCCCCCCTCGACAGAAGGTGCCGTGACGCAAGAACCTCGTGTTTTGCCTCAGGGTCGACCTTTCGTCTGCTTGGGGGCAAAGCGTATCTCGCCTTTCAGGAACATAGAATCAAGCTTGCACCCGTTCGGTTGAGGGCGTGGATAATATTCCCCACGTCATGTTCTCAGCGCAAAAAGCGGTCTGCAGCCGCTTGTCCATCCGATCGTGTGAACGCAAGACACAATAGTCGATTTGTGCACAAAAACAAGCGCCGAGGCCCCCTCTCTCACCTAGAGACTGGACGTTGAAGAAGAGTCGATCGTCGCCGACACCGAGCTTCATCCCGTGAGGGGAGGCAAAGCGGTTGACCAGCGTGTATTCGTTGAACGCGACCTCCTCGGCACACCTGCCAAAGTTGTACCGATGTCGTCACCAATCAAGAACGGCTTCTTTCGGCAGAGGTCCCCTCTATTTTTTTTAATCTTGAGGGTGGGATAACCTGCAATCATTTGTTGGAGATGAAATTGGACCCTCAAGGTGTTAGCCCCCAAATTTTCCGAGTGGTGGCGCCATCTGCAAAGAAAGAGGACCTCGCGGTGCTGGTCCAAGGAGCAAAGAACCGCCGGCGTCATCGAAACGAGTTGCTGGCGCTCACCGTCGCCTCTGCTCGCAGAAACAAAAAAAAGATGTGACACTACTCCCGGAAGAGGATACAAATCGTTTTGTTGAGAAAGTTTACTAACGTCTCCCTTACCACGGAAAATCTCCCACGTTGGTGAGCCTCATCGCCACGGGGTTGAACGTCGCTGGCGTCCGCGTGGTAGCCCAGTCACCACCGCTGCCCGCTCTGGATGTTCCTCCTCCTCCGCCGCCGCCGTGCCGGTGTGACGGTTCCGCCGCCAGGGTGACATTTACGACTTCTCCCACGGTTTCGTCGCACTCGGACTCCGAGCAGAGCGAAGCCAGGATTCTAGATGATGCCGATGACTCCGTCGCCGCCGCCGCCGCGACCTCCTCGTCCAACAGCGATGATGACCCGCTAGACGTTGCGCTACCGCACGGTTTTACCTTGATTTCGTACTCGTAATCGTCTGCGGCAGCGGGGGGAGGTCGAGGGTAACACAGAGCTACTGTTGAAGTTGCACGTATGGTCGCCGACATGCGTGCATCGTGCGGAGGGTATGCGAAGAGGATCAAGCGGTGGGTGCCAGAAAAACACGCGGCGCAGATGCTTGAGTGAAGGGCGATAGGTTTTTCGTCTCTAGGCACCGCAGTCACCTGTGAGGAACGGATATGGATAGGTCGTGCTTGACAAGCAGTTGCTGAATAGGAGTTTGCACACAGGAACGATAGGATGGTGCCTTTTGCCCCACCCCTACCTGTATCCGTCCCTCCCTGGGGTCCTCCGATTGTGATTCCACCCTCACCCGCTTCCGGTTCTGCTTGCCCCCGTCCATTCCACTGGTTCAAACCGTTCCGTTAAATTCCATGTTCCACCGAACGCTCTCTTTCGTTGCATCACCCCGCGACATCCCTCTCGCTGATTCTCCTGATGCCCAACCCCTTCGTTCTCGGGGGGCTCTCACAGTAATTACTACTCACCTGACCCCTGCAGGTTGAAGAACCGCCAGCTGCTTTGGCAGGGGTAGAACCTGAGAATCGTGCGTACCGACAGAGGTAGACCTTGAGAGGGTGCTGCGTGATGCCAACAACAGCAATGCGCCGCACAAGTGCGGTGCGGAGCTGAGCTTGTTGGCGAAGCAAAAATAGAACGCTACACCACAGAAGAAGCCTCGCTACAGGGAACGATAATCTCGCAGGCCCGTCCGTTCTTCGATTTAACCCTGTCCCGACTAAACAGCGTTTTTTGCTGCCACCGTGAGAAGCGTTCACTCACCAGCCAGTGTCAAAGTGTACACCGTAATTGCAGCCTTTCTTTCCCAAGTCTCCATCGAGGTAGACCCTGCCCCCGCTACCGAGGAGGTTTGTCCCGCCGTTCCAAATGACCTCGTCGAAGCACCTGCCAGGAGGGGAAGAGACGGACCAGGCCGGCGAAGCTGAATCTAGTTGCTACACGAATACGACCGAGTGCGAAACGAAGGCCATGTGTGAATGAAACACAAGTGGGCCTGAGTTGTTACAAGTGAGATCGACCCCACCCACCCATACTCCCCGACCCTGATGAATTAGCGCTCAAACAAGCCGCAGGTTTGCCCGATATCATCCTGTTTATATATAGCCCACAACACCTTTTCGACTTACAGCGTGCCACGCACGATGTTCACAGGAAAATGTTGTCGACGGGATTTTATTCTGTGCGGGAGCGGATGTCGTCAGCGACCCCACCATCTGAGAGTACCATTACGGTTCCAAGTCGTGTTGAGCCGTGAAACTATTGTCAGCGGGGGTGGTCAGTGGGATGGTATCTATTGCGGGTGTGGTATCTTTTGTAGAATACCAGATGGTAAAAAGATCTGAGCACGCCCGAGCGACAGCGGGCTAAAAGCGCTGGACGCCTTCGTCGAAATCAACCAATAAGCAAATACATACATCCCAGACACGACCACACAAACCGCAACCAACGAAGGCGAAACGGAACAACAATCTTGGGCTCAGAGAAACCACGCCTCACCACGCGTCAATCCCGACCATGCTCATTGACATGGCCGTAGGTTCGAATGCGAGCGGTATCTCAAAGGGGGTCCATGTCCCGATCTCTGCCAGCTCCGCCACGGAGTTGTACACGTTCTCCGGCCCCATGACGCAGTCGTCTCCACCCCCATCGCAGAAGGACAGGTGCACCTCGTCGAGGGATCCGGCGTTGGTCTCGTTGCACGTTCTGACCTCCAACGTGAATGGTTGGATCGCAGCTGTGGCTGCGTGAAAAAATGACATTGTGGGGGGGGGGTCAACGCTGATGTAGCCTCTTCGCGAGGAAAACTAGGTTTCTTTTAGTAGGGGTTTACGGGTTGGGGTTAGGGGGAGGGGTACGAAATTACCTCTCTATTTCGTAGATAAATAATAAGCCCTCCCGAAGGCGGTCCCAACGTGGGGATGGGCTGGGTGGATGTTGTACCGACTCCGACCTTGGGCATGACATTATCAAAAATGGAATACGGTTCGCCGGGCATGGGGTCGAACCAAGTCATGCGACGCATCGCAACATCGGGGGCGAGGGGGGGGGGGGGG